CAATACTTCCTCCGCCTAAGGATTGGTAAATGCATTTATTTTACAATGCACTTAATTCAGAACTGAATTATTACAGAGATTAAACATTGTCAGGTGTAAAATTCAGGTCAAATTTCAGGTCAAATTTCAGCTAAGAAATGTCAGTAAGAAACAAACCAAATATTACTATGTACTGACAAACAAATATTACTGCTGCTTAGAGGCAAAGATGATTTCGTCTAATAGGTGTATCCTTTTTTTCTACTTTTATCATTAGTACTTGCGTCTTCGATGCTGAATATATCCGTGAGCTGAAAGCTTATCACTATGTGTGCACACTTAGTTGCAGACTATACACTATCAGTTAAGTTAAGACTATAAAAATTATATATAGCTTAACAGTCCTATGCATTGCAAAAACTATCTGTCTGTCTGTCGCTCTGTCGCTCTGTCTATGACAGTGTGTTTTTAACTATATATCTTTCTATCTATCTATGACAGTGTGTCATATCTATCTATCTATCTATCTATCTATCTATCTATCTATCTATCTATCTATGACAGTGTGTCATATCTATCTATCTATCTATCTATCTATCTATGACAGTGTCATATCTATCTATCTATCTACAGTGTGTCTATCTCTATGTCATATCTATCTATCTATCTAACTATCTATCTATCTATCACAGTGTGTCATATCTATCTATCTACCTATCTATCTATCTATCTATCTATATATATATATATATATATATATATATATATATTTATAACACAGTATGTCCATATATATCTATCAATCTCAATAAGTTCACATCTATCTATCTATCTATGCATGAATCTTTCTGACACAGTGTATTAATATATATATATATATATATATATATATATATATATATATATATATATAGATATAGATATATATATATACCTATCTATACATTACAATATATTCCTATTTATATCTCTCTCTCTCTTTATCTATCTATCTATCCAAATAGGTTCACATCTATCTATCTATCTATCCATAAAAAATTCTATTTATATTACAATATGTTCCTATCTATCTATCATTCCGTTTGTCTCTATCACGATTATATGTGTTTATATATGCCAGCATTGAGTGCCTCTAGTCAGGATCTATACGTATATCATAATCACATAAGATTTTCTAACTCCACTCCATCATTGTTTTTTTAAAGTTTTTCGACCAATGCAGTATTCCACTGGCACTACATTTCCCTGTTTCCGATGAATCAAAAGCTGAATATGAGGTAACTAGAAAAATCAATACTTCAACAATTTGAATCTACCAATCAGTGCTCCCAATTTGCTCTTGAATTCTTAAAACTTTCCCAGGGGATGGAGTGCCTACCTGATTGATAATAATTACATATTAATTTTTCCATTAAATTTATATGAATTTTTATCCGATCCACATTATATATAAATATATATATATATATATATATATGGAGAAAAGAGAGAGAGAGAGAGAGAGAGAGAGAGAGAGAGAGAAAGAAAAAGAAAAGAGGAGGGGAGGGATAGATAGATAGATAAATGGATTGATATGAACAAGCCGAGTTAGATAGATATGATATATATATATATATATATATATATATATATATATATATATATATATATATGAAATATAAATATATATATATATATATATATATATATATATATATATATATATATATATATATAGATAGATAGATAGATAGATAGATAGATAGATAGATATGAACAGAATTAAATACAGACACACAGATGTATATGATGGATCTGCTGGTGCATTGGTGAAAGTGCGATGTTTACAATATACATATGTCGTAAAAAAATGATCGAAACTTCAAAGCCTTAGGGAGAATATTCTTTAAATTTCTACCCACGTATTTACTATTTATACTATCATGTATGGTGAAGTTTATCCACACAATCCGCTTAATATAAAAAAGGTTTATCCTCGAGTAAGTCAATGGTCGACGGCATTTTAAAACGGAAACAATTAAACACACACACACACACACACATATATATATATATATATTAAGTTACCTAATTGTTTTGTTCAGTCAGTGTAAGAAAAACAAAATAACCATCTATATACACAACATAATTATATTAACTGGTTCACAGATGCGTATTTTGCAACCTCAATCAAAACACACAATTTTCTAAGCATATAAACAGTTTGCATATATATGTATATAAATATTACTGAAAATGTGTTACTTTGCGACCGTTTTAGACTTCAAATGGTGGTCGGCGTTCAGGGTGAGATCACGACAAACACAATTTAAAAGCGACTTATTTTACACATGGGATCGACGTTAAACAGTTTACCTATGCTACAATTTAATTTTTTTTGCCACTGATGTTTTGTGACAACTAAAGTATGCTTCGTAAATGCGTCTCCATCTAACCCTCTAGTGGTCTGTCTAACACTCTACCTCTGTGATACTAACTTGTGTGATTCTTGGGTCTTCTACAGCGGAACGTTACTGTAAGAGAAATACAGTGTTTATCAGTAGCTGTGTTTATTTGCCTGTTTCTATCACACTATCCACACACACACACACACACACACACACACACACACACACATATATATATATATATATATATATGTGTGTGTGTGTGTGTGTGTGTTTATATATATATTATATGTTTTTATATATGATAATGATATACATTTATGGTATGTTATATTTATGGTTATAATTGCTCAATATCAGGCATTGACTGTATGTAACACGCGCGCGCACACACACAGACACACACACACACTTATATATATATATATATATATATATATATATATAGATAGATAGATAGATAGATAGATAGATAGATAGATAGATAGATAGATAGATACACAAATAGATAGATACAGATAAGCAACAAGAAGTAGACTGACAAAGAGAGACTGTGAACATAGAAATCAACACTGCATAATTCCAGTCAGTTTCATTCTTCAGACGTTCTTTAGATGTACATATATACATACATACATATATATACACACACACACATATATATATATATATATATATATATATATATATATATATATATATATGTGTGTGTGTGTGTGTGTGTGTGTGTGTGTGTGTGTGTGTGTGTGAGAGAGAGAGAGAGAGAGAGTGTCAGTATGTGTGTGTGTGTGAGAGAGAGAGTGTCAGTATGTGTGTGTGTGTGCGTGCGTGCGCCTGCGATGACTATGGTAGTAGAATTTATTTGAACAGAAACACTGCAAAACCTAAAGAGGTTACAATTTATCCAATATTTTGTTCCTTATGTAGAATATCTTTTTGGTGATATACAAGAAAAAAAATCCCGCTGACAAAATTCTCGGTTTAATTTAACAAAACTTTTTTTTTTTTTTTTAAATCTACCTATTGTTATATGTCTATACCTATACTTTAGACATCTTCAGATGGCCTTAATTGACGATGCACATATCTATGTGTAAAAGAAGGTGTAAATGTATGCGTTCATAAAAAAAAAGAAAAAAAAGAAAAAAAAAACACGTTTCTATAAAAAAAAAAATCTTGTCGTAAAGCCGGCTGTATAAAAGCACCGGACTTCAGTGTTCATTTTTTTTTTTTTTTGTATACGCGCTAAGATTTTGGCGTGTGCCTAGAATTGACTACGCTAATATACATTGACATGTATCTAAGTTTTAATGTTTTGACGACAGTTTGTTGCTCTTGAGTCGTAATTAATTTGGCAGTAATATTTAGATTTTACTTGGAGAAAGTGTAAGAAAGAAAGAGAGAGAGAGAGAGAGAGAGAGAGAATAAAATTAAAACAACAACAAAAAAAAATGTAATAATGGAAGAAAGGATGGAAACATAATTTCGAATGAATGAAACGTGATTACCCTCCAATCCAGTCCTAACAGTTTACGCGCTGCATGCATTTTATAAATAACAATCGTGACTCGACAATGTTATTAATAATACCAATTCCGATGAAAGAATCCTTCAACTACACTTGTCATTGTCACTTTACAAAACGAATCATCAGAGCGGCCGGTAAAATAAAATTGGAATAAAAAAAACAACAACAACAGCAACAAATAGGAAGGCACTTACCTGTCGTGTGTACTCCTAAAATCCTTGTAGGAAAAAAACGTGTTCTTGCCGAGTATATCCAAATGATTCGATGTATATACGTATATTTATACATTAATATAGTACTACCTATATCAATGTATACATGTATTTATATATATATACACGTAAAAGCACATATATGTTGCTTCAGCAGTTAAATTTTTTTTATATATATATATATATATATATATATATATATATATATATATTCATATATATATATATATATTTTTATTTATATATATATGTATATATATATATATATATATATATATATATATATATATATATATATATATATATATATATTTTAATATATATTTATATAATATATTCTTCTTTTATTAAAATTGTTGGATTTTTAAACTCCAAAAAAACCCCAAAAAACTGGCGTGTCCGTATATATTCACTGCAATAATACGATATATTTCCCTTGTGTGCGTATAGTTAAAAAACTATAATTGTTGGCGTACTTGCCTTTTTTCTGTTTGTGTGCGTACGTGTGTGTGCCGTATGAGTCGGTTAGCTTGTCTGACTGTTGACCCGTTTGCGTGTCTCAAAACGCGGCTACTAAAGCGGTCTGTGTACCCCTCGGTATGCTTAACACGATAGCTTGATAGTGTATGCGCAAGATGGTTGTTATGTGCGGATGCATCTCATTTGAGAATCTGTTGTAACCGAGCGACAAGAAACTAGAGGCAAAAAGTAAAACACGCTACAGAGGGGATAAGACGAGGAATGCCGCAGTTTGAGGGGACACAGACACCCAAGGATTTAGATATCGAAGAACGGGTCGGGGACGCGGGCTAGCGGGATTCGCTATCAAAGAAAAAAGGTGAATGAAAGAAATGGTAAGAGAGGACGAGAGAAAGAGACACCGAAGATAAGAGAGCTTGTTGAAAGACAATAGTATATTACAAATAAAATAACATACTTGAAAAGCTATTAGATAGATAGATAGATAGATAGATAGATAGATAGATAGATAATAGATCTATAGAGAGTAGATAATTTTTTTATGTCTATCTGTGTATATATATTTTTATATATATTATATATATATATATATATATATATATATAAATAGGAAATATTAAAACAATTATCCTTGTCTGCAGTGTATAAAGATGGGTATTTGCTTGGGTATATGTCTATGTATAAAACTATATGCGTATACACTGGTAAAGTCCGTACACGCGTTCTTGACTCGCAGACGGAGCGAGTGTATAAATGAGTGAAAGGTACTTAGGAACGAAAGGAGGAATACAAGGAAGAGACGGCCGAATAAAGAGCGAAAGGCGGGACCAGCTGATAGTGTACCTTTTTCTTTCCTTCTCTATTTGTTTATATCTTCTCGGAACACGAATTCCTTCTTTCTTTCTTTCCTTCCTTCCTTCCTTCCTTCCTTGCAACGACGACTGCCACGTTGTCTCTGTGTTTTCTCTTTCTTATTGGCTTTTTCTTTCTTTCTTTCTTTCTTTTTTTTTTTATTTTCCAATTCTTATTATTACTTATGTTTTCACTTTCTTTTTTTTTTATTCATATTTCATTTCAGTGGTATTTTTTTTTCCCGACTTTATGAGGCGACGCCGTTTCTTGCAATGAAATATTTACTAAAGCTAAACTGTTTTAAAAAAAAAATGAATAAAAAAAAAATATCGTAAGAAAAACTTGGGATGAACTGCTACGATATAATAAAGAACAGGCGTGTAGTAGGTTACTCAACGGACTGCCTTTACACAGTATGACGAAAAGCCAACAGAGGTCGGTCTGAAACAGAAAAAACACACAGTAAGTAGCAAATTTTGTTTGTTTTTCGAACAACTGCTAGTAGAGATCATAAAATAATTATATTATTATTAATAATAATAATAATGATAAAAAAAACTATTGATGATAAATCAGACACGCTTGGAGTTTAGGTATAGCTTGCCTGAAATGACTTATGAATAGATTTCTTGGACGTAATTTCTGAATATACTTAGTATAAAGTATTTAAACATTATAAGGAACGGTGACATATATAAATTCACTAGAATGGATTATTAAATATATTTAATATTTTGTGAGTAATAACTAGTTTTGAATATGGGTACAATGATGAACAATGAAAATATTATTAAGAAAGCACACACAACAGAAAATTTTTTATGGTACCGAAAATGAAAGTGAAAGTAGTAATTGGATATTAAAAATAATATATATATATATATATACACAGAGAATTTTTTTTTGGTGGTGTGTGTGGGGGGTAGCTAACAGATTACATTGAGTGGCAACTAACCGTTTGCCTTAGCGCTGTGTATGCGTGTATTTTTTTTTTCTTTTCTTTTTGGTCTCTGTTTTCTTTTTAAATCAACAGCTTAATTCTTGAAACCGAACGAACGAAAGTTACAGCGAGAAAATGGACGAACAGAAGAAACGAAATAAAAGATATATTTGTTGACTGATGCCTCAATCGACAAATGGAGCGGATCGAAGAATCGGTCAGTACGTGAGAGGGTAGATATTGGTGATAAATATATTCTAAGAATGGACTAGGTTCTTTTTTTTTTTTTTTTTTATTAAATGAAACAGATTGCGTGAGCGTAGAAGCGCTTCAATCGCTATCAACGAAAATATAACTAGCGGAGGAGTAAGCTTCAATTTTTACGATTCGATTAAATATTTTCAGTAATTGCAATAAACAAACCGAAATAAATGGCAGGGAGTCGTTTATTTTAAGCTGACACCAAAAAGAGAGGAAGGAACGGAAGAGAAAATCGAAAGTGAAAGGAGAGTTTACTCGATAAGAAAAGGATATATTTAAGAATTTATTTTTGTTTGTTACTAGTTGACCTCTTTCAATTTTTCCTCAGAAGTCATACACAGACATACGTTAATGTGTAGTACGATCTATAAAAAAAGAATGCACTTTTTTATATAGTCAGTGCATACGAATATATCATGTGTAGGTATTATAAAATGTATAAAAAAAATCTAAAAACGATAGATAGATAGATAGATAGATAGATAGATAGATAGATAGATAGATAGGCTAAGAGATAAGGTAAGAGATAGGAACCTGTTACATCGACAAATTGATGCTTAGAAATGAAAAACAGTGATCTTTAAGACGCACATGCATATAAAATGAATGCCAGTACACCGAGTAATCTTTTTTTTTTCAATAGCTCCTCGTGCGCTGTTTAGTATCCAAGTGCTTGTACAAGGATGGAACAGCGTAAAATCATTCAGTTGTGTTTGGGGTCATGGAACAGATGGCGGGAGATTTTCGACATAAGTTATGTAAAGACTCGGAAAAGAAGGATAAAAAAAAATAGAAAAAAAAAACCAAAACAAAACAAACCTCAAACTAGATCGAAAGAAAAAAGAAAATGGGAAGACACATACAGAGGTATTTGGAAAGAAACAAAAGGTAAAAATAATGAGAAAATAAACGATGCTTGATACTGCTGGTTATTCAAAAGTGAAGGCGAGTTTAAAATAGCTTAGGATGGAAAATTATCAAAAATGTGTTGGACTGAAGAAATTAGTCCGTGAACACGCCCGCTTTCATTGGTATGCAAAAATGTACAAAAGAATGTTTCTGCACGATGCGTGTATCGGCACGTCGATATAAGTGTTGAATATAAAAATATAAGTTTTTGTGTTTATATAGCATTATCAAATATGCTTATTCCTGGAGTTACTGCACATTTCTACATAAAAATTCTTAGTTTCTATAGAGTGGGATATTCTTTTATGAACAGACCAACTCACGTGGACATGCTGTTGGTTAAAATTCGTACGCCGAGAAACTACGTGGCCAGATCTATAAATTATATAATATGATATATGTGAGCATTCACTGTTGTATCTCTCTCGGATTCTTTTTCTTTTCTTTTTTTTTTGCGTAGAATTGTGAAAGGATGAATGAATAAGACTGTAGAGCAGGCAGTGCGTTCAATAGTTTAGGCAGTGAAAAATCACTTGAAATTGTTTCCCCGCGAAAAGCTGACCGTGAATTCGATTCCTCTCGTGTATGTATGCAAAGCTGCCGCTTTAACTTTCTTATTTAATATATGGATATAAGTATATATTTTCATTTATATTATATATATACATATATATATATATATATATATATATATATATATATAAGTTTGTTAATTTGTTATTTTGTTTATGGAGGTGGGTGTAGGTGAGAGGAATATATATATATATATATATATATATATAAACGATGTCGGTTCCTTTAAAATGGTAGTCAGATTTCACGACTGGGACAAATGTTGCCAGAAATAGGTTGTTTTTTTTTTCAACTATTGTTTAGATTGAATAGTAAACATCGTCGAAGTAGTCCAATTATTTGTTTTGTTTACTTATTTCTTTATAGAGTTAGTTTGATTTTCGTTTAACCTTAAAGACTTACAGATTTATAAGTATTTTTTACTTATATAATAAATTAATTACTGTTTGTTCAACTTTTTTTAACATTGTCAGTGTTGATTTTATAAAAACTGTTTTCCCCTCACAAATTGCTATCTGAATTGAAAAAAAAAGATTTGTCTATATTTTTAAAAACAGAAGTGGCAGTACTAACCGTATGAGTGAAAGGGGAAAAAGGTTGAAAATAAAACCCCTATGATTGCTGTTATCATTTGTATTCGCAGTTCCCTAACTGTGAATTTTAATCTTCCTAGTTGGAGTCTATCTATTTTAATTATTGCAATTAATTAATCAGTCTCTCAATTAATCTCCTTTTCGGGTGAGCAGTTAAAGGTAGATAATCCCATCAGTGGGTAATATTCGTAAATAACAAATATTATATTTAACAAGTTGTTAAAATATTTTTTTTTTTTAATTTTCGATGAGAAAACAATGTGGATAAATGCAAGCTCACTGACATTGATCACAGCTGCTTTTGTTTCCAATATCTCAAAACACGAGTAAAGGGAAAAAAAGGCAATCAACCTTTTTTACACCCCGTTAAATCTCGGATGTTTAAGGATTTAATATTTTTATTATTATTCTCGATATGGGCTGCATTTGTTAAATTGATTCGATAAGGACAACGTGGGCGATCAGCAAACGTTGACTTCTGTTCAGTTCTGTTTAATTATTTACTCTTTTTACTAACACCATTAGCGAGTGACTTTCATTTCACAAGCCTTTCTCTTTTGGGTTTTGGGTTTTAATGTCATCAGTGTTGTCTTGGGCATTGTTTTTGTTTACAGTTTATTTTGAAATTTGTACGCTTTTGATTATACAATAATGTCAACAGTAATAAAGAATAGATCCACTGGGCATGCCTGGCATATAGATATTCTAATTGGGATACGCACTGGTACACTCCCCCAACAGACAAAGAAACGCAAGACTCACTTCGATTAGCATCCGAGACAAATCATTTAAATTTACCAGATCTTTAACAGATCCAATGTCCATATGTGTCGGTATGTGACATTGAAAAAGATTTGATTTTTACAGATGTAGATATGTAATAATAATAATAATAATAATAATAATAATAATAATAATAATAATATTGATAATTTTAAGGAAGGGCGGCTGCATACATTTCTTTAAAAGGTTTGGAAACTGTGCTAATAAGTGTCTAGTCTTATGAATCTTATATATATATATATATATATATATATATATATATATATATATATATGAATAAGGTATTTCCTTTCAGTGTTTTAAGTTTTAGTTTTTTGTCTTGTTTCGTTGTTTGTATTTATTTTTTTTTTGTTTTGTTTTACTTTATTATTATTATTAATTGTTTTCTTTGTCCGATACAAATGTTTCCTTCACTTTATTCCAGTAAAAAATAAGACGCACGTGTCAGATTGTTAATAGGAGCAACGCACACACACAGTACACCAATGTCACGCACAAGAATCAAAGAAAACGTGTCCTTTCCTCTTTAGTTTGAATCAAATTCATTTTTCAGGTACCAATTAGAATTCGTTTCAGAAGAGTAAACGAACTGCATGAATTTAAAAAAAAAAAGTTAGGAAAACTTCACCTGTGCAAATATGCAGGCTGATTTATACTCGTATATGAAAATGTTTCAGGCCAGACTTACTTTAAACGTATATGGAAATATTTAACTACTTTTTATATGAAACATATATATAGGTAGCTATAAATTTACGTGTGTACAGTTAAGCAGATGGTATGAAAATTGCCAAATCAATATATATTATAAATATATATATATATATATATATATATATATATAATTCTTTTAGAAGAGTCAGTCAAACATATTCAGGCAGAAAGACCAATCCAAGACACACGCGCGCGAGATTCTTAAAGAAGAAAAATTGTCAATATATATATATATATATATATATATATATATATATATATATATATATATATATATACAGTGAATTTCTGACTATATAGACCTTTATAAATGTGCAGATGTGATGCTTTTGTTTATAGATGCTATTGTATATGATCCTTTAGTGAAAGCAAACATCAACCAGAAGAAAATAAAACACCTTTTTTTGCGCATATATGGTGAGATAAAACTTTAAGTAATATATATATATATATATATATATATATATATATATATATATATATATATATATATATATACAGTTATTGAAATATTTATATGCAATTTATATATAAAGTATACGCTTATAGTAGTTGTTGCTTTCCTTTCATGACTTGTTTTCTTTATTTTTTTTTTCTCTTTCTTACAGGTTACTTATATGTCTAGCCTTTTTGAAGAATGGTTCCGAAAGCAGAGATACAATTTGGCAGTCATGAATATATCTGTATCCTTTTTTCTGTTTTTTTTTTTTTTTAAAATAAATTTTCCGTTTGAATGAAATGTAAAACAAGAGAAAATTGTAATTCTCCTTCCTAAATTAGGCAAAAGTACTAGACGACATTTTCCTCAAGAGGGATCTTTTTCTTTCCTTTTCTGTGGACGAAGGGTCAGTATATTTTTCAGTGGGGGGTCAGGGTAACAGACGAAATCATAAAAAATATGCCTTCCACCCGACAGGACTTGACAACTCTATAAATAATACACGCACATACACCAGTTAGATAATAAATCTGACAATGGATAAGTGGTTGCTTCTTTTCCTTTCATTCAGATTGTCCTTCCTGGGCAAGTCATTCGATTCGGCCACCGTGTACTCCGCCGATGCACCCCTGACAATAACTTCACCTACTGGCAGTTATCTCCGACATCGCAACTGATCGCTTCTCTCGTCTGAAGGCAGCTGGATGTAGTTACTTGGTTTGCCACTCTTTCGCTTTTCCCTCCTCTTCGTTCACTCCACCTTCGATATTAACTTCTACTTTTCGTCTGTTTCTTCAAACTCCTCTAACACTCTTGTCTTAAGAAGCAACTCTCCTCTTCCATCTACCCCTCCTGCCACTTTGTCTTCTTCTTGTTCATTCAGTTTTTCTCTTGTGTTATCTAGTATATTCTTTCTTTCTTTCTTTCTGTCTCCACTTCCTCCCGTTTCTTCACGTCCTTCTTAAGCAGTTTTTTTTTTATCCCCTTTTCCCAACCCCGTTTTTCTTCTACTTTTTCTTTTTTACAGCTAATTCACCTCTCACTGTTTTTTTTTTCTTCCTCCCTACACTTCTCTGTATACATTCACCCCACCATTTTTTTTTATTTTTTTTTTGTTAACTTCAAAATCAATCACGTTTTCTTCCCCTCCATTTTCCAATAATTTTGTTTCTTATATTTTCTCTTTTTTTCTTTTGCATAACAAATTCCACCGTCTCTCTTTCTTTCCACTCTCCTCTCTAAGAGTATCCATAACTTCAGCAAAATTTCTCTTCATTTTCGCATTAAGTGAATTCTCTCTTTGCTGAATGCAGTTGCATACACCCGCCCGTACGCCCACATTCACACACACACACATACACACACATATTGATTCAAGAAAGCGCTAAGCTACATATACAAGGCTACTTTATTTTTACGCATGATTCTATCCGAGCACATGAACATGATGTTACTGTTCTTCCCTCTACTGACAGAAACACTATCCATCATTACATGAGTATATATCATAATAGCAATCAAACGGTTACTATACAGCTGTACTTCATAGATTCTGTCGCTGTGGCCGAAGTGAAAGTCTATAGAATCTGGATACATCTTTCAAAGAAGATCTTTACAACTGTAGGAATGATTTCTACGTTTAACGTTAGAAATGAGAAAAGGACGACTTAATTGTGGGAGTGGATATTGGCATTGTGGCAATGAAGATGCCATTTCGTATGAGAAAAAGGAAAGAAAAAAAATCTGTTAAAAAACAAAAGAAGAAAAAAGGAAAAGAATTGCGTTTATATGTATTTGTGATTCGTGGAACTTTCGTCGGATTCATGGACTATCGAAAGATATTTAAAAGT